CTTTCCCTATGACTGAAATACACAAGTGTTTAATAAACCCCCTAATACTGACATTCAGCAGACACTTTCTAGACCACCTTAGTAACTTTTTGTAGTCATCCTACTGCACTGAATTTTCCTATTTCCTGAGCTGACAGCACCTCTCCAAGTATAACCAGGTCAAAGCTGCACAGCTTCCTCCCTCTAAGAGTCTGTAAAAACCCAACATATGACGAGAAAAGCCTTGTGACTGCAGATTGTCAAGTTTGCTATGATTTAAAGCATCATTTGCTAAATATGACCTTAAACATACATTATAATTTCAGGACAAATACACCAAAGTATATTTTATTAATACTCTCCAAACAGCCCGCTAGAGAGAAATGACAGTATGAAAAAAAACAAAACTGTAAAGCTTCTAGGTTGCATTCAGTGTAAAAACTTGGGAGGTATAAACAGAAGCCTGGAGTAAAAATATTAAGTGCATTTCCAATTCCACAGTGCAGAAAATCAGTAACAATGGTATTTACATTAGAAGTGTTCCCATGTTCAATTCCACATATATGTTTCTCTTCTATATAAACTTCTGATAACTTATGTACAAATAAGATGTCCAACATCTGTTCTTTAATATAAATATGTAATCTCCATGACTGAAACATTACAACAGTTCGATCAAAAGTATAGAAAAACCCATTTAATATTTTTTCTAATGGCAGTGTTTAAAAAAAACTCTTGAACGCAAATGACCTTAGAATGATCGCTATTTCTTTGCCATAAAAACGCATTGTTCATTCAACATGCGAAGTATTATTGCATACATGAATCACAAACTACCATAATAAAGTCTGAAGGACATGTGCTGAACAGCCCATTCTAGCAAGTTCTAGCTGAAAGATCATATGTATCACTGAAGAAAGCGTAAGTACTAATGTATTAAAAAAACGCTACAAACTCAAGTATTGTCATCGCACTACTAAGACTTAAGGCAATCAAGAGTTGGGAAGCTTCAGTTTGGCATAGTTGCATTAAGCTCTCCCCTTTTCCCCATCAATATAGTTAACAAATCAAAAATTCTTTTTAGAGGTCTGCTGATGTTGTTGCTATACATATTAATACAATTCAGTGCGAAGTCATTGACCAGTAACACAGTTTAATATCCCCGATTGCACTGAGATGATCCAATTTAAGCAATGGTTTCTCCACCAGCTAAGTTTTCCAGCATGAATCTCTAAACTGGTATGAGAATAGAGAAAATATTCAATGTCTACCCTCTCAGTGGAACTGATTCTATGACTTGCATCCATTCTTGGGGTATTCTAGAATTTAAGGGTTCAAAATAGATTTGACAGTCAAATAATATTCGGCTTTACAAAGGACAATTATTTGCAGTAAAAATACTTTCTATATAAACATACACACAGCAGATCAAAGTCAACAGGCATTTCTTTATGGCTTTTTTCACTGAGGTACTGTTATAACATCCAGCAACAGGATGCAAGTGTTCATACAGTATGAACACCACATTCATAAGCTGTGCCACCAACTCATGACAAGTGGCAACAGACTGCAAATCCAGCATCACTGCAGGATTACAGAAAAAGTGTTCCCTGCTATGTGGAGGGTCTCAGTGCAAGCTACAGAAAGCCTCAAAGGCAACTGGCATAATGGGGAAAGTCAAAATGAAAGTCTCACTCTATTAAAAGGAGAAAAAACAGTCATGGCAAATTAGAGCCTCACAGTCAGGCCATTTCTTACAATTAACAGCAAACATTTGGGACATCATATTCCAAGGCAGCAAGGGCATATAATAGAGCAGCCACACAGACTTGAAATGTGTAGTTAAGCTCTTACATCTGATCCTTAAGCTAAGTGCACACACAGTCAAGCTACTATTATAATACCACACAAGGTGAAGTGCTGCAAGCCAAAGATGAACACTATCAGAAAAAACGAGGTTGACAAGCACATGACTTCAGCTGATGTCACAGTAGACAGAAAACCCCAGCTGAGCACAAGTTTATTCCTCAGCTGTAAAAAGCTTATTTGTGAATGCACATTTAGTTGCCCCTTCTCCTGCTTGTTTTTTTTTTTTGGGGGGGGGGGAATGCAATTTCTAGTCATAGTACTTCCAATCCTAGTATTTCTTTAGTGTAAGTGGAAGAGGTGTTATATTAAAAATGATTGTTGCTATATATATTTAGTATTCCACCTTCACATCAGAAAATAACGGGTGTGTTTGTTTTTTTTTTTAACAAAGTGGCCATATAGCTACTCTAGCCTAGACTTCTGCTTTTATTATACCTATCCTAAAAATGTGTTTCTGTAATAAATACTATTAAGAGTGAAATGGAAGTTCAAAATAAGATTATTAATCATGGTAACTAGTTCTTTCCAACAAAGTTTGTTGTTGTTTTTTTTTTTTAAAACCCCACGAACTGCAGATGCTTGAGTGAGTTCCTTATATGAAGATACAGCACAACATGTAAAACTCAGGAGCTTAGCCACATACAATTCATACTTGAGTTTATACACACTTTAGGACATATCACCACTTAGATCAACAAATTCATCATCCCTCTTGACCAAGTCATCTTCATCTTCCAAGTCTTTCCAGGTGCTGGTGGGTAAAGCTGGTTTGATAGACTGTCTCTGAAGTAAAGCAAATGGAAACAAGGATGACAAACGAGCAGAATTTCTCTGCATTGGAACAGAATGTACACCTCCAGAAATAACTTGACTATGTTCTTCATCCATTTTTACCTGCAAGCTTTGCACTTCCTCCATCAAGTCCAAAATCTTGGCAGCTGTAGCTATTGTGCCTCCACCATGAAGCTGGGCTTCAGGTATCCATCGTAAATACCGTTGTGCCCAGACTTTGATTTCAGGGCCATCGATGCAAGGTAACAGAAGACCATGATAGTCAACAGGTTTCCTATGCCAGCTATCATAAAATTCCCTGAAGCTATTAGGAGGTTCATCTGAAGAATTTATGAACTTGCCAATTCTTTTACCCAGAAGGTTTTTAATTAAATGATCCGTTTCCTCCCTGAAAAATCCTCTCTTCGTGGAAGATTTTGTTTGTGTCAATGGCAAAGAAAGTTGCCTTTGATGCTTTAAGAGGAAAGAAAAGAAAAATACACAGAGATAAATATTGATGGGACTTTAGAAAACATCTTAAGAGGAAGAAAAACAGAACTCGTATTGAGAAAATACAGGCAAAGTCACTTAAACACAGACACTGCTTTCCTATAGTCTACAGCTGTTACTCTTAAATGGCTACTAAACCAAATACTTCACACAGCATACTTAGTATTCCCAGATACCTTCCCTGCACTGTAACTATACCAATGAAGTAGCACTAAATACAGCATTTTCTTCTGAAAAAGGAGAATTCTTTGCATACATTCAAGTATTAGGCTTCCATGTTTAGTTTCAGCTAGCCACACAAATCGAAGAGCACTTGATTGAGAATTTTTTATCTAGTGGTTCTGCATTGCATCCCACCACATAGGAGTTCTCTGACTAATGCTGTAGATCATACTGACACTGTCTCACTTGAGAATGCAGATTCTACAGAACAGAATTTAACTAACAGGGATATTACAATTGAAAGAGGCTACTCAAAACAAACTTTTCTTATTGAATTTGTGCTACTTCCCAGTAATGAGGTGGTCCAGCCATAATCCTCCATACCCTAGACAGTTTTTGTTGTTGGTCCCCCTCCAAGGGCACGCACACGCTCCAATTACACTCAGACAAAATTATATAGGCAATTATAAACTTGTTACGTATTTCAGTGACATACTCCATGGAACAACAAAATAAATTCACTTCAAACATATCAGTGTAACTCAGCTGGATGTTAAGTCCCACAAGTTATCACTACACTTGCACAAAGGTATGAAGAAAAAACCTAGAAGTTCACAGCTATGCACAGGAACCGTAAAACAGTGATTTATAACTGAGGTGGGTGCAAACTGTATTCTTAAGATCCAGGTGAGCCTGAGGTGTACATGTATTTTGTCAAGTAAAAAAAACTTTGCACCAATACTTCCCCTGTAAGTACATTTGAAGCATGAGTTGTGCAAATATTTTTATAATTTAAAAAAATAGTTAAGCAACACATATCTTACTTTGAATCGTGCAGTCTTCCGTTGACTTTTTTCTGGTTTTGGCTTCTCTGCATAAAGAGGGTTGTTCAGGAAAGCCTGGGCCTTGGGGTCAAACTGCACAGACCAGTCCCACACAGTAAGAAATCTGAAAGGACCGCTTTCTGTCTTGAGGCTTTCACCACTCTGCCAAAGCAAACAGGTCACAATTAATACTGCTAGAAAGGAATTCTGACCAAGTCAAGGTGAAATGAAGAAACTGGCTTTTTATAGAAGAGGCCACAGAGTTGCAACAACACTCGTAACTTCTATGTATTTAATAGCTGAACATTATTAGATGCGAGTATAGCAACAAAAGGCTATCTATATATTATTCTCTAACTTCAGAGACTATGTCATTTCAACAGAGCAGTTAGCACCAAGAAAGTGTCTTTTCACAGTTGAAAATAAGATTAAATGATCTGAGGGAAAAAAGTTTTTAAAATTCGGTAGGAGATAGACACTTGGAATTCTTCAAATGCAGGGGGCATATTAGGACTGTGGAATAAACCTCTCCAACCTTCAAAAGTTAACTGCAGTTATGCAGCTCTACCAGTTTAAGTTTTATAATTAATGCATTATTTATATGCAAGACAATGATATTCACTTTTTTTAGTCTCTGTGCAGCCTTGCAGAGGATACTTCCATTGCTTCCAGCTTCTTAGGCTAGAGAAAAGCACTAACCAAACATAAATTGACATTCAGGAAATACTGATTTTGGAATAGAACAGAATATACTGTACAAGAGTTTTGTAGATAACTTATTCTGAAGGTCAGCAGGATATTCCTCTTAGGTTAAGAAGCTCCATTTTCATTGGAAAGCAATAAACATGAACCCATAGCCACGCACTAGAAGTAATATATTCCTGAGTTATTTTCCTTTTGTCATCATGAACTCCGAAGTCTGGAACTTGACTCCTTACACCCAAAGTTGCACTTATTCACGTTTTAAGGCACCACCCTTCAAGTCAGTATGGAAAAATGTGCTGCTAGGGAATCTTTTTTTTTGAGTGTTCCTCATTTTTTGGTCAAACCTGTTCTCCAAAGCATTGCATCCGCAAAACAACAAACCCTTACCACGTTAGTGTCTTTTTGATGTTGTGAGTTGAAGAAGAAAGTGCTAAAAATAGGCACATAGAGGCTGTCTGACAAGACAGTTAAGTAAGTTTCTGTGAACTCAAATGCTGGAGGATACTGTTGTACCAACTGCCAAACACAATTTAACAGGAGCAGAAAAACAGGAGCCTAAGTAAAGAAAATAGTGCATCAGTTTCAGAAAAATATACGTTCCACTATGCAGGCAATTTATTTTATATTATTTAGTGTCTCCAAATACAAATCTTAAAGAAAGCAATCAGGTTAACTACAGAATGGTTGCATATAACTTTGGCTGAACTCTGAAGCATCATCTGAGCCAACTGTTGACAGAAGAGATGAACGGTTTCTAACCTGACTTTGCACATATTAACTTGCTATGAAAGTTGCTGCTATGCAGCCTGTTAAAGCTAGCAAAGCAAAACTAGTTTATAACAGTTCTTGATCAGAATGATTTTGTTTACACTTATGACTTCCATTCTGTACAGGAATCTGATCTATTCCCAAATTATAAACAAAAATGGAGATGATGTGAGACTGCAACATTTATCAAGACAGTATAAGATTAAACTCTAGATGTGACAAGAACATACAATTCACTTGAGTTATTTCTATGGACACTACTACCATTTATCAGAGTTTAAGAGGACATGAGATACATGTCTTTCAAAAGAATCCAAGATTGAATGGGAAATTCTATATTCACTCCTTTTAGTTATAAAGACATTGCTGAACTCTGAACAGCAAACATAGCGACACTGTACAAAACATCAACCCATAGAACAAAATATAAAACTAAAGATCCACAGAGTAATTAGAACTTCTGGACTGACATCTAAATCCCTTATGCTGAGGAAACTTTTAAATAGCAAGTAAGGAAAGTAATAAAAAAATCATACCTCCTCTTTGTCGCTTTTATGTAAGTGGTTACAACGATCCAAAAAACAATGTCCTCCAATTACCCACTCCTTCTGAATAAGGCTCTGAAACCCTGACTTTGTTCTGCTGTAAGAATCCATCATCACTTGAACCAGACTAGAGATTACACAGCACAGATCAGTAGCACTCTCTTCTACAGAAGAGAACAGAAACCACATTGTCTACTAAGCCATTCCTAAAACTCTGGGTAAGAAAGCAAAGTATTTCAAGATCAGAGAAGCACACAATTTCTTGCAAGTGTTACACCATCAGACAGAAGTTAATCCATGTTTCCAGTACTTCCCTTTGTAAAAAGGTGAGGTTTCTTTTACACTTGTACTAGGGTAATACTTTGACAATAAAACCTACACAACCCAAGCTTTTAATATTGTAACTTTGATGCCTACATCCTTCAGTCTCCCACAATGCACACACTGTCCCTCCTGTCCTATGCTACCAGGTCAGATATCTGCCCTTACCCTTCCTATACTGCATGCATCTTTGTTACAAAGTGTGAAATTCCCTCCTGCTGCAACAGGCATTATTCACCCTTCAGGTGCCTTCTAGAAACATCTCTTCCCCATGCTAGGTTTCACAAATGAAGTGTGTGGAAAAAAACAACTAAATTATTAATCCAAAAATAGCTTAATGGTTAACATTGAGTTTGGGTTTACATGTCACTACTTTATTCAACTTAGGAAAACAAAGTGCTCAAGGTGTGTACAACAAGCATACTCTTTCATGTACCTTTATTAAAGAGACTCTATAGTATTCAGTGTGTATCTAGAACATAAAAACAACCTTTTCAACAGTTTTCATGCTCCACGTTCTTTGTGTAGATGCCCCACCACTCCCATTCCCCCTTCCCCTTAAAGCAGAGCAAAAAGTCTGGGAGATCTTTAACAAAATAAGTTAGGAAACAGGAACATATAAACAAGAGGTAGCACAACTCATGCCAATTTATCAGCAGCTTTCTCATTCACAACATCTTTCTCTTGGCCTGGAACTATGCTTACCATGTTTTTTTTTTAACTACAGGAAGCACTTCCAGGCTTGAGAGATTTAAGTTTCTGGTACTTTGAGTACTCTATGAATTCTATCTGCCTCTACAGTAATTGTAAACTTACAGCTTAAGCTACATCTAAATAAATTAAAAAGAAATTTTTAAAAACATTAAATAATCTCATTAAATTCTTACCTATAAGGAGAACATTTGTGTGCTGTCTTTCCAGACACTCAGCAACTTCTATTGCTTTCTTCAAGACTCGCCTGTTGTGGTACAGGAAAAAATAAGTGAACATTTTCATAACATTTTTATAATTAAGTTTCTTATATTAGTTTCCCCTAAAAGGGGTTAGAATATCATACTACTGAAACTTGACTAGTCCTTTAACACAACAAAAACCATGCTCAACTTGTGTAAAAGAAGTGTTTAGCCTCAAGAGTAAGCTTTCAAGAGGCCATCTTTATTTGGCCACTGGTCATGCATTTCCAGTTATCATCTTTGTATATCTGCAATACAATACTTTATTCTGGATCAATAGCAGCCATCACTCACACACATACTAACTAAAGTATTACAATTGCTGAGAGCCAGATCTTTATCCTGGAAAAAGTCATCCCCACACTTATGTTCTGATCTACTACACACTACATTTCTCCCAGAATCTGGTTATAAGAGGCAGAGGGAAGGATCAGCAATGAGATCTTGTTAACATGCAGACAAAACTTATTCACGATTATCATTACACAAGGAAAACTGAGTGGAATTAAAAGATCACATAAAACCAGATGCAATGCTGTTGGCTTCTAGACCCAACTCTATGAAGAGTTGATTATTTTCAGCAAAAGTTTACACACGAATTAGGATTCTTGCAACTGCTTACATCACTAATAGAAGCTGACAGTTTATTTTGTAAGTGTGGAGTTCTCAGATTCTTTGTTCTAGCATCTGGAATAGCTGAGAAGACATTCCTAACTGCAAGAGCCAAGAACAGGCTGATCTAGGAAGCAACTGGATCCAAGAATGGAAATGACCAGTCTCAAAACAATGTAAGGATAGCAGCTTGGGCTGGCACTTACTTTAAACTGCTTGTAATCTTGGTTATATCAATGCATTTCTCAACATACGATCTTCACTAGATCCTCTCATTAAGCATACATTTAAATTCTGGATTAAGGAATTGGTAACTATCAATATTTATTGATTGTTATTAAGAATAGAAAGAACTGAAGCTCACTGCAGAAGACTGCAGAAACACTTCATGGTAACAAGCTGATCACAGAATAAACTGGCAGACAATAGAGCTAGTACAAAATAACACTGAAAACAAAATCCCTCAGCATTGCACTATAACAAGCCTTAAGGTAGCCAACACCATTCCAACACTTACTCACTGTGGACTGCTGAGAGAAGAAAAAAGAACTTGAGGAACAATCAGGAGAGGAAGGGGACAAAACTGAGAACAACTGTCATTTTATAAATCTTTGGTGGGCTAACATCTTGAATACTGCAGTTCATCCCGTCCTAAAGGATATTACAGAAGTAGAGAGTACAGAGAAGAATGGCAAGGCTAGTCAGAGACATGGAATAGGTTTCATGCAAGAAACAAATAGGATTCTTCAGTTTGGAAAGGAGGTGACTAAGTGAAGGAGGGAATTTACTGGATCTTTAAGTTTTAATAGGTTTGCTGGAAGAGTTGTAATTGGAATGATCTGCTGCTTCTCACATCCTTTAATGTGGGAGACTTAACACAAGCCTGTAAAAATACAGTCTCAAATTATAAAAATAAGGAGACCATAAATCTGTCTTAATTTTCTTTCCTACTGGAGATAAAGAATGTAGTCATATTTCAAAAAAACTAGCTAGAAAACCCACTACAAATGGACTTAACAAAACAGTTTGAAACCCAGAAAGTTACAGATATAGCAAACCTGATTATCTCTAGCCAGTTTGTGCTCTCCAGTAGTGAAAACCATTTCACATCAGTTGCCCAGAAGTCTGTACTGTTATCTGCAAAAAAAAAACCAAAACAAAACAAAAAATTGTTTTGTTCGCATATATGTAGAGCTAATTAACAGCCATCCTTTGTACTACTCTTCAGCTATGAACTGTTATAAAAGAACTGATACTAAGGAGTCAGTAAATTCTAATCACTGTCAAAGTCAACACCCTATACTAAATGAGGAAATAAAGTAATCCTACAATCACCGGTGAAGTTTTACAGCACCATAGGCTTTTAGAAATAAATGCTGTAGGTTCATAGTAACCAAACCAAGTAAATAAACTTGTTGACAAAATGGGAAAAGAAAAGAAAAGAAGTTTAATTCAGAGATGGTTCTTCCAACTTCCAGTTGCCTTGACTCTAAAGCATGATCTACATAAAACTTAACATAAAGAGGCTGGATTTTGAAAGTCATTACCATTAGAGCCAGAAACACAAATGGGTTTTAGAAGGGGATTACACAAATTTATGGGATGTAAAACTACCTGAAAAAGGTTGTGAACAGTTTTCACTGTTTAGGCATTAAAATACATGAAAAAGGGAATAGCTAAGATAAACCAGGAGGCCAAGTGCAATACCACAAAGTCTTTAAACTCAGTGAATTTCATTAGGATTTTTGTAGCTCGTTAAATACAACCTAAACCTCTATTGCTTTTATTTCTACCAAAGCTAACATTCAGAAACTGGAAAGCTCTCAAGGTGAGAGCGTTCAATTCAATTAAAACCAGAATAGATTACCTTTCCTGCATAAGGCACAAACCTTGAGGCCCAAGTTCTATGACAGTTCTACTATTGAGAAACAACTGAGATACATCACACTTCCTTCCTTCCCTACTCTCCCCCAAAAAGCTTCAATTCTGCATGTTTCTGTATAACTGCTTTTCACCTCCCAAAGTCTCTCCAATATGCTTCCCATGTTTACTTCCAATTCATACTCACTTCTGTCTTGTTTCCTGCAGCTTGCATGTATGATCCTCAAATACACAGGCATTTATCTACTTTGTTCCTGTAGCTGTTATGCCTCCATGCCTGCTTGTGCCTCTCATTCTGTTCATTACACATTAAAAACAATTTAAAAATCTATCTTTCCTTAATGCATTTCACCCTAGCCATAGAAACTAGTTCGCCACAAAATAAGCATTAGCATGCATCCTCAAAGCTCCCTAGTCAGTTCTGTTCACATTAGAGGTAGCTTTCTCCAGTCTTTTCTGATTAACATCTTCAAATTCAATTCCAAACGTTAAGTATGACGCCCTTTTAAGTATGTCATTACAGTACTTCAAGTAAGGTACCTTTTACTCCTCAGTTCACCCTCTTTCCATCTGAGTTTTAGAATATTCCCTTGCACTCAAATCTCATGTTTCATTTAGCCTGACATTGCTATTTGAAAAACCTGCCCATTCTGAATCAAGGCAAAATTATAGTACCAATTTCTAGTCCTTCAAAACCACAAAAAAGATGATGCCAAGAAAAAGGGACTTCTGTCTTTTTCCTGTACAGTAATGGGCTTTCATCAATAGCGATAACATTTATATTCCATACTGAAGTCTTCTTTAGTTCTTTTACATTATGGATAGTGTAGAAGACTTTTTCTCCAAAAAGCTGAGTAGCCATATTAAGCATGGCTGTTTGTTTTGTTCAGTCACACTCAACCACAGTTAGACTTGACCACCTGTATGCAGGCCTCTGCAAACAATTGCTTGGTCTGGCAGTTCTCCCCCAAAGTCATCTCCAAGTCAAAACAGGAACTTCTTTTTAAAGGCACAACAAAACACTTGCAGCTTGTTTCACCCCTTAATCAAGGTATTTTGCTTAGTAACATCACAATAGTGAGCAAGCTTTCTCTTCCTCCCTATATTCTAGGACAATGAGAAATACTCCACTGGGACTTGAGAACTGAAGTGTTCAAAGTCTCATTTATGGTACATGGGGAAGTGCCATAGAATAAGACTTGTGAGCAGTCTAGTAAAGCCAGCATCTACCTTTGCAACATTTCCAATAAGACAAACAGTTTAAGAGGATATAAGCTTTCCCCATCAAAATCTTCTTTCAAGCAGCTACCTACTACTGTGGTTTCTGTTTTGCTTAATTAGGATTTTTATAACTGAAACTTCAGTTTTGGCATGTGTTCAGGAAATTTACCCAAATTTCAGGAATTTACCCAAATCAAATTAACTAGGCACATACAGAACAAAAATAATGGTTAATGTGTAAGACTTTGAAAAACAGTACTAAGACAGTAAATTCCTGTAAGATGAAGAAAGGCTGAGAGAGTTGGGGTTGTTCAGCCTGGAGAAGAGAAGGCTCTGGGGAGACCTTATTGCAGCCTGCCAGTACTGAAAGGGAGCTTAGAAGAAAGATGGGGACAGACTTTTTAGCAGGGCCTGTAGCGACAGGACAAGGGGTAATGGTTTTAAACTAAAAGAGGGTAGATTTAGACTGCATCTAAGGAAGCAATTTTTGACAATGAGGCTGGTTAAACACCAGCCCAGGTTACCCAGAGAGGTGGTAGATGCCCCATCCCTGGAAATATTCAGGTCATGGATAGGGCTCTGAGCAACCTGACCTAGGTGAAGCTGTTCCTGCTCATTGCAGGGGGGTTGGACTAGATGACCCTTAATGTTCCCTTCCAACCCAAACTATTCTATGATTTTCAAGAAATGTAAGACAATGCTACAATGACACTACTGAAATATGCAATATTTCCTGAGGGATGTTGTATGACTTAAATTCAAGCTTTGTCCTTTTTCCTATAGGAGGGTAAATTACCAGAAACTACCTGAAAATATAGGTAATTATTTTTAGCTAAGTAGTATGAAAGATCCACTGTGGATTTGACAGTGTATTCTAAACAAAATCTTCAACATGAAACTCTGCCAAATACCTCACACCTTAAGCTTTTCTTCAGAATATCACTGAAATCTTTACTGCATATTTATCAGAAACCACTCATACTAATTTGTAATCAATAACAATTTACCAGCTAAATTCCATGTATAAAACCAAGAGGACTTGGACACTGTCTGTAGGCTACACTGCAAATACACAGCTCCTCAGTGGTTATCAGATCCATTATGTCCAACATCAATAGCCATATGTGAATGGCCCCAGTGTTCAGCAAGCCACCAGACAGAGGTTATTGCAACATTTACCCTCCTTATCTTGTAGAAGACCCACTGTCCAAAATGGTCCAATGGCACACTGAACAGTTTTTCATGCCAGGAGGTGAGGTCAAAGTACTGTTTCATGACAGCAAAATAGTTAAGGAGCCCCAGTAAAGAGTCTGAAAGCCTAGATTATACTAGGCTCCCATTTTTACTCCTTTCAAGTGGACTTACTATCTATAGTAGTCACATTTAGCCCTACAGCCAGAGCGGCAGAATTTTAAGCAAGCTCACACTTAATGTTCTGAGGTGTGACTAGTTTGTAACAAAAGCTAAGGCAAAAATTAATTAGCATTTAGTTTCAACTCTTGACATAGCACAAAGGCTTAAAAGGTTAGCATTTAACATTCAATTTCAATGGACCACAGAAGATTCTAAAATCTCTCCCATAACTTTCAATCCAACTAACATTTGAACTCTACAGTCACTCTTTAAAAGTAATTTTCAGATAATGAGACTGCTTAACAAGAGGTAGCAAGTCTAAGAACTACAAATCTCCATTAACATAGTCATAAGCACAGTCTTCAGTTACATGTTTAAAAGTCTGCTTCTAACCACTGCCAAAAGCAAGACACCAGTCAAGAAAAGGACTGTATTCATGAGATGTAAAACAGCACTGTCATGCTTTGCAGCTCAGTCACTTCAGAGAAAAAAGACTAAAGTTTGACTTACCTATCAAAAACAGCTGTTTAAATCTTGTGTATGCAGTCTGGATATCTTGCAGAGATGGAAGGCTGCTTGACAAGTCGTCTGTCTTCAGGAGTTCATACGGAGGTTTGCTAATTGTCTTATAGATTCTAAATCAAATCATCAAGAAATTAAAGCCTTCTGCTTCACAAGTCAAATAATGCACCAGCTTTTATCACTGAAGACAAAGTTAATAGGCATGGTTTGGGAAACAGCTGTAAGATGAAAAGATACACGCCCTGGAAAGCTAATGGCCTCCATGCATTTTTAAATACTGGCTGGAAGCTGGCTTACAAGCTTATGACTAGTTTTGCTTCTCTCAACTGTTACACTCATAAATTGGTATTTGTGCAGTTATGAAAATTACAAGCATTGCTTCATTTTTCCTACTGCTTCTTTAGTATTGTCTTCACTAGACACACCAAAATTACTCTACTAGCAGGCTATTTACAGGTGAATCAAGAAAGAGGAGATGCATAGAAATACCCAAACCTTCCAGACACCATTCTTCCTGACTTTTACCAACCAAATTACATTCTGATACTTAGCTGCCATGCCTGCTCATGAAACACATAAATAAAAGATGAAACAGTTTGGACTCAAACCAGATAGTATACCTGCCTTGTACTTTTCTATGTATCTGCCAATTTTTTCCCTAGGAGGAAAGGAAAAAATACCAGGCCAGATGAAGCTTTGGTTTTGTCCTGGTTTCAGCCAGGGTAGAGTTAAGTTGGGACGAAGAAGGAAGGTGTGGAGAGACAAGACATTCGGAGTTATGGCATCTGTCTTCCCAAGAAACCATTACACATGATGGAGCCTTGCTTCCCTGGGGACGGCTGAACACCTGCCTGCCCATGGGGAGTGGTGAATGGAGTCCTTGTTTTGCTCTGCTTGCGTGCGCGGCTTTTGCTTTACTTATTAAACTGTCTTTATCTCAAACCATAAATTTCCTCACTTTTACTTTTCTGATTCTCTCCCCCATCCCACCGTGGGAGAGTGAGCGAGCGGCTCCGTGGGGCTTAGTTGCTGGCTGGGGCTAAACCATGACAGGTTTGGACCCAAAGTATCACCTCTCATTCAGGCTCCAGAGCCCACATGAATATCAGCTTAGTAAATACCTCTGTGGTCAAGATTGGGGAAAGCTGCTCTAGCTTATACTTCAGAAGTGAAGCCTTGCAGGCATTTGCCCAGAGAGGACAAGATTACTTGCTTCCTTTATGTTGTAGCACAGAAGCCTGCTTTAAGTGACAACTACAGGAGTTCACATCAGAAATGCCGGTTACTAGACCTACTGAAAGATGCATCAGCTGAAAGATTTGAGATAAAGCAATCATTGGTCAATTACAATACTTCTTCCAAATTGAAGTAAACAATTTGTGCTAGAAGATCTGGCTCTAAACAACTTTGAGTAGAAGAAGCTGTGAATTGTAAATATCTGCTGTGTGCTTGAGTTCAGACAACTATTACAATGGCATGTTAACACACCCTTATGAACAATTTGTAGATATTTTTAAGTATTAGTGTTTAACCACCAGTACTTCATAGCAAAGAAAACCACCGATACTGCCCCAAGTTCAGATGGCCACAGACAATAGGTGAGACAATATCAGTTGATGCATTATTACAGCTTACTGCTAGTTCTACTTACTGTCACACTATGAAACAGCATTACAAAGAGCTGTAAGTCATGTAAACTTCCCCATTTCAGGGGAAAAATATTAGAGGATCTGCAGGAAGGGTCAAAAGCCTTTCCCATGCAAGTATAATTAATTTTAAAAACAAAAGAGGTTTTAAGAGCCTTATCAAGCTATTTTCTGTTAGTTCTGTGTGATTAACAGGTTCTCCATCTATGAGATGGAGAGAAGGAGCTAGTGGTGAAGCAGTACAAATGGTATATATTAGCCTGATCTAACAGCTGGCCACTAAGAAGTTCTCTCCAGGACACCCAGCAGATTAAAAAAAGCCAGAAAAAAAACAAGAGCAACAAGCCATTGCCATAACTCTCAGCCAGGCAGTTGTGATCTTCCCCTTATGTTAACTTTGCCATTTTTCAGACTCTGAGCTAATTCAGTTCCCTAACTCTGCTGATGCAAAGCACTGCCTGCCATCACATCTGAAAGGAGCAGTAGTGAACTGCTAGATTGTCTCAGGCATTTTTGATCACTTTAGATAGTCATTTAAGAACACAAATCTTGTTCTGAGAAGACAATAAACTTCAGAGGTTTAAAACTCAGCTTGCAAATTCACATTTAGAGATGGAGTCTAGACTTCACTTACTTCCAAACACAATTGAGCCCATCAGCTAACGAATCTTTAACGGTACTTAAGACCTACAGGCTTTGGTGCTGCTATACCTAATAACAAGCCACACTGTACAGAGATTTATCTGATCTAGATATGTATTTCCACAAATAAGCTTTCAGTGATATTACAGTCCCACACAACTGACCGATGCTGTTAGGCCAAGGGCTTAAACCCATTCCACTACAGAAAACTACTTTTAGATCTAGAACTTGTTTCCTGATGTGTGCAAGCCTAAAGATATAGCATATATGGAAAAAAGAGAAGCAAGGTCCATACCAAGCAAAGTGTTGTGGACAGAATAGCTATTACTGACCCATCCAAGAAGGCTTTTTGCATTTGTGAAGTGCTGTCATCCTGTTCTTTGGGAAATGCAGACATTTTGAGAAGAGCAGCACCATTATGGCAAGACCAACACCAAACCTGCAGAAAGACATTTACCAGGTGATAAAATTGGTAAACTGTCCCACACAAAGTATTTGCTTAAGTGACTGAGTGATTACCAGAAATTTCTCCATGCTGCGCTTTACTGAATTTTTGGTGTATTCAGCAAACCCATCAGTAAAAGCAAACTTCTACAATCTCACCAAAACTACATGCCTCAGGACACTGTTATCACTTGCAAGTTTTAAGTTAAGCTTCATACAGGCACAGGGAATATAAAATGCCAGATTATATAACAATATTACTTTCTCAACAGTGGTCACAGGTGAAAAAATTGATCAAAATGTCTATGGCCAAATTATGTTGGAAGATATGCCACAGCAAGATGGCTCTTTTAAGTAACTTTTATATGTTAACCATCAGTTTCTCCATACAGATAATAGCAGTGTTTTTCTTATAATTCAACCTTGAGATAACTCACAATAGATACTGTCATGCCTCTCCATGTGAGCTACACATAAAGAGTCATCTAGGCATATGAAATAAGATATTAAACAAGAACTCCACAACTAAATCAGATCATATAGTTACAAGTATTCTTTATATCAAGTCAGTCCTCAAAGCTTCTTACTTCCCTTTACACATAATTTATTGACTCACACCTACTGCTTGAACCTCTCAAGTTGATCTTTAAACTCACTTGGAAGCTGGGAGTCAGAATCATTTTTATCAGAAATATTACTCAAGTCAAATCAGGAAATTAAGACTTCTGCTACCAATTTACAGTAGCCAAGAGGTGCACCTCAGAAGGATGCAGAAACCTCACAGTCATAAAGACTGCCATCTCAAACTGATTTAATATGGTCAAGCTGTTTTGACAGTAGCTCTCCAAAAAGGATTTGGAAATAATTGGAAGAGTTCTACAAGGCCTCTGAACAATGCAAGATGCAATTAAAAAATAATTTATGTTTCTGTGTAACAGCCACTGTAATTTGTCTGGTTGACAATCTGAGAAAGAGAACCAAATTATTTTGATCTTCACTACCTGAAAGGACAAACTGGGCAGGACAGTACAGCACTGTCTTCTCCATGGACTAAATCTCAGAGCATGAAGTGAATATGGTTTTTCTTGGCAAACTTGATGGACATGCAGCAACTAAGGCAAGACCTCGTAAGTGAGGTTACTTTGCGCCTTGTTTCTATCTACGCTGTCTTACTGGTTCTTGAACTCTGGTATGAGGTAGGAAGCCAAACCCAGCTTGCTACAGGACACAAAACAGTATCTTTAACTTCATTTTCTGCTGAGACTGGTAGGACTAGTTTTTCAGCTAGGCTGCTTGGCTTTGAAAAAATGCTGCATCATCATGGGCATACTACTCACCAGTAGTCAAGCTAGGCAACTGAAGGTATTCAACTCTATCTGCACATTCATGGTCTTCACTTCGATATCCAAATAGCATTTCAAACCCTATATCCTGCCCCAGCTAGATGCCAGTCAGTACTCAGTCTAATGAAAAACAGGCTGGTGTATAGACAGACTAGTAGTATATGAAGACTATAGGACATTAGACAACTGATATAAGTAAATGAGGGCTGTGAACCCCCATTTTGCTTTACACTGTTTAAGGGGAATAGTGAACACTTTGAGCACCTCTCCTTCCAGCATCTATTTCTCTTCCTATTGATGACTAGGTGTAAGTGTGAGCTGTTAAAAACAAGTTCTAAAAATATGCAGTAACATCTGAAATGCTCATTGAAATTATGTCTTCTCCATAAGATTTCTTACCCTCAGCCATATAAATATACTC